TTTGAATTTACCGCCATATCGAGTTAGTTGAGCGGCCAGACACAGACGCATTCTTGCGCTGCAGACTTAGTGCCAACTCTTTAAAAGTGAGATGCACTACTATAGGGGATATATTGTGGTTGCGATGCCTGTAGTTATGCGGAATTCTGTAATATCAAGGAAAGTAGGTTCTGTGATGGATTTAAATAGGTATGCCGCCAAATTCAAAATTCCAATTTATGTAGTTATGCGGAATTTTTGTATTAAGGACATATTTTTAAGTAGGTATTGTGATGGATTCAAACATTTCAAATTTTTGATGAAAAAAAGAGCTGCGTTGCGTACATGAAGTACATTATATAGGGTGTTCCATCTCAGACGAGCCACCCCGTATATTTCTTATCCCATAGTAATTGGAAAAATTTCCCGAAACACGTCGGATGATTTTCTTTGGGGGACATGTTTTGACGTATATTTGAGGCTTGAACGAGCAACCCCCTATGAGGGGGCGCTTCAACCCCTCAAAATTGAATAGGGAAGAGGGGTTGAGTGATACTTCATTTGTAAGGTCTTGAAAGCCTCTTTATAACGGTGTATGAAAAAAATCACATTCTTAAAAAATTAATTGTTGAATCATGCTTACAATTAAAAAAATCAAAACTGCCTTTTTAAATCAAATGTTCAAATTGTCCTCCATTGACTTCTATACAATAATAAATTCTCTCGAACTAATAAATAAAAAAAAAATCAAAACATTTTCTTATCTTGCCTTCATTTTTACTTTCCTATCTGTATACAGATATAAGGAAAGTATAGGAATCATGATTTTTTTCGACCTCGAGTTTTCGACGGATTTTTACGTTTTGAGGTCCCCTGAATCCGTTTTGACTATTTTCGCGATGATGTCTGTGTGTGTGTGTGTGTGTCTGTGTGTGTCTGTGTGTGTGTGTGTGTGTGTTGTGTGTGTGTGTGTGTGTGTGTGTGTGTGTGTGTGTGTGTGTGTGTGTGTGTGTGTGTGTGTGTGTGTGTGTGTGTGTGTGTGTGTGTGTGTGTGTGTGTGTGTGTGTGTGTGTGTGTGTGTGTGTGTGTGTGTGTGTGTGTGTGTGTGTGTGTGTGTGTGTGTGTGTGTGTGTGTGTGTGTGTGTGTGTGTGTGTGTGTGTGTGTGTGTGTGTGTGTGTGTGTGTGTGTGTGTGTGTGTGTGTGTGTGTGTGTGTGTGTGTGTGTGTGTGTGTGTGTGTGTGTGTGTGTGTGTGTGTGTGTGTGTGTGTGTGTGTGTGTGTGTGTGTGTGTGTGTGTGTGTGTGTGTGTGTGTGTGTGTGTGTGTGTGTGTGTGTGTGTGTGTGTGTGTGTGTGTGTGTGTGTGTGTGTGTGTGTGTGTGTGTGTGTGTGTGTGTGTGTGTGTGTGTGTGTGTGTGTGTGTGTGTGTGTGTGTGTGTGTGTGTGTGTGTGTGTGTGTGTGTGTGTGTGTGTGTGTGTGTGTGTGTGTGTGTGTGTGTGTGTGTGTGTGTGTGTGTGTGTGTGTGTGTGTGTGTGTGTGTGTGTGTGTGTGTGTGTGTGTGTGTGTGTGTGTGTGTGTGTGTGTGTGTGTGTGTGTGTGTGTGTGTGTGTGTGTGTGTGTGTGTGTGTGTGTGTGTGTGTGTGTGTGTGTCTGTATAACGCATAACTCATGAACCGATACACGGAAAAACACCAAATTTCAAACTTTGTTCCAACGTCTAATGAGCTGATTAGATTTTGGGCAGAGTCGGAACATCTGGGGGGGTACTTTATAGGTGGTCATTTTTATATTTTATGGAATATATCTGTTATTTACGTTTGGGGAAGAAAATTCTTCAAATGAAAGTTACTTCTTATTTTATTATCTATAATTTTTGTTATATACAAAATTTTCCTAAAATGGTCCGTATTCGCGAAATTTGACAAAATGTAAAAAAATATTTTTTTTTTATAAAAATTGTTCAAACAAAAGTTGTTTGTAATATAATTCTCTATAATTTTTATTCTATAGATAATTTCTCTAAAATGGACCGTATTCGAGATATTTGAGAAAATGTGTAAATTTCGAAATTTGAAGAAAACTCAAAAATGGATAAAGAAAAAAACATTAAATTTTAAACTTAAGTTTTATTTCGGCCTGACGTGAAATGATTAGATTTTGGACAAAGTCGGAACATCTGGGGGGGTACTTTATGGGAGGCCGTTTTTATATTTTATGGAATATATCTGTTATTTATGTTTGAAGAAAAAAATTGTTCAAATAAAAGTTACTTCTAATATTATTATCTATAATTTTTGCTTTATGTAAAAATTTCCTGAAATGGTCCGTATTCGAAAAATTTGACAAAATGTGCAAAATTTTGATTTTTATGAAAATTGTTGAAATAAAAGTTGTTTGCGATATCGATCTCTATAATATTTGTTTATACATGATTTTTTTAAAATGGACCGTAATGGAAAAATTGTAGGAAAAGTGCCAAATTTAAATTTTTCAGTATTTTCATTTTCAATGAATATCTATAGAAAAATGTTTCGCGGTAGATGTATGTGGACAATGTATATATTTAGTTTATCCTCTAAACATTTATAGAGATGCTGCAATAGGTTGTACAAAATAACCGGAAAAAGCCTGTAATACCTAGATAGGAAAGTCATGTGTTGGACACATCAGATTTTTTGTTCTTAGAAGACACCTTCCAATGGAGGACAATAGTATACAACTGTAGCGGTACCTAGCAGTAAGTCTTTATTGTAATATTTAATTTTTTTTTAAATATATTTATATATTTTCATTAAGCGGAGAACTTGTTTTCCTAAGGGAAAAACGAATCCCGGGACTCCTTTCCAGTGCGTGCCCCACTGCCGCCATGGCCCACGAGCCGCCACTGATCAGACAGAGATCAGTGACGATGAAGACGACACAGTCTGCATCTTTTGCAATGGACTATTTTCTCGTTCCAAACCGAACGAAAAATGGATTCGTTGCTTGTCTTGTAAGACATGGGCCCACTGCGAATGTGCAGATTGTCCCTTCAAAAAGAGCACTATATATTATGTGAGCTCTGTGTTTAGCTTAGGTACCTTCTCCCTACTTTGTCTTAACTTTACTTTTTTTGATGAATAATATTTGTGTTTTTTATATTTTTAAGCTCTGTTAATTTTAATTTTAGGTGCTAATAATTGTACCTGACTCTGCATAAGTTAAGCATTACATTTCATTTATATTTTTACTTGAATAAACTTTTTTTGACAATTAAATCTCATTTTATATTTATTTACTTTAAGTAACTTGGTAGTTTGGGCAAATGGCATACCCGAAATATTCAGCCTGAGATGGCATACTGAGGTGAGATTAAAAATAAAAATGCTTAACTAAAAAACACAGAATTGTATTAATTTTTGTTATCGTTAGGCTAGGTATTTTCTTATATAACTTTACATTCGAAAGATCTACCACATCCAGTTTGTCCCGGTAATTCAAGTGCAAATATACTAGGTGATAATGAAAGTGATGTTGAATTCAAATCGATTTTTGGTGATTCTGACGAGTTCTCTCTTTAAGGAAACATTCAATTAACCAAGCCGAATTAAATGATCTTATAAGAGATTTACAATTTCCAAGATCTAACGCAGAGCTTCTTGGTTCTCGCTTACAACAATGGAACTTATTAACGCCAGACACAAAAGATACGTTTTTCAGAAACAGAAACGAGAGCAAAGTTTACTCAGAATTTTTCAAAAGAGATGGTGAATATTTTTATTGTACTGACATCCCGGGGCTTTTTGAAGCAATGAATCAAAACCATGATAAAACAGAGTGGCGTTTATTCATAGACTCTTTGAAATATATTTTTAAAGCTGTTTTATTACACAACGGAAATAAGAAACCGTCTATACCAATAGGACACGCAGTAAATTGTAAAGAGAGCCATGAAACGATGTGTACTTTAATTAATTTAATAAATTATAACGAATACCAATGGAAAGTGTACGGTGACCTCAAGGTCATCGATTTTTTATTGGTATTGCAGGATGGTTACACAAAATACTCTTGTTTCCTTTGTTTGTGGGACAGTAGAGCAAAACAACATCATTATGTAAGAAAATAATGACCTATTCGAAATGAGTATAGCAAAATGAACGTTAAACACGAGCTGTTGGTAGATTCAAATAACGTCACTCTACCCCCTTTACCCATCAAATTGGGACAAAAAATCTTTCCAAGCATTACAGAAGCAAAACTGAAAGAGGGTATATTTGTTGGTCCACAGATCCGTAAATTTATGAAAGGTTCTCAGTTTGAAAGCCTTTTACTTGGTTAATGAAAAATCTGCTTGGAAGTCATTCAAAATTATTGTGAAAGAATTTTTGGAAAATTAAAACTGTGAAAATTACAAAGAAATTATTACCGATTTAATGGAAAATTTTCAATAGATGGGAGTAAACATGTCATTAAAGATTCATTTTTTGCACTCGCAATTGAGTTTTTTCCCTGAAAACTTAGGAAGTATGACTGACAAACAAGTGGAACGTTTCCACCAAGATTTAAAGGTTTTTGAAGAACGACATCAAGGATTTTGGGATGAGCCAGTAAATAAATATTTCTTAAACTAGACGTGACAGAATTTTTTTATTATTTTTTTCTGGATATTTGTACCTAAATAAACTATAAATTAACAACTTTCAGATGGGGTATGAAAACCGTGTAAACTAGTGTTATTTATTAGTATTATAAAATCCCAAGTCATAATTCTACAAAATTTCAACAGCTATTCACAATTTATTAAACTATTTACGCGAAATTGTAATTAGCCTCAGTAAAATAATTTTCTACGACAATGTATCGTATTCACTTTGGTTAACTCCGCGGCAAAACTGTTAAATTCTATGAAGTGAGAGAACTACGAAAAACCTATCCAACGTCGCAACGTCGGTCCCTGCTCCTTGCTCTAAAACCCTAAGGCCGGGTGCAAGTTCAGACGCAGTGCGGTAAGGTGAGGTGACTCACCGTGAGTTTCTGTGTAAAACTATAATGATTATTCGCTGTTCGCTTGTTCGCACGCAGCAGTGAGGTTAGTCAATTTCAGCCTGTCCGTGAGCTGCGAAGGTTTGTCAGGGCCACAGTTTTCTCTCGTGACTACAGAGTGGCAAGCTTTGTTTTCAATGTCAGCGATGGAGGAGAAACTCATCGAGGCAGTTCGAGATAGAAACATTTTATATGACACCTCACATCCTGATTATATGAAAATCAAAATAAAATTGAAGATTTGGGACGAAATTGCGAAAGAGATTGGGATGCAATCTGGTAAGTGTGTATAATTTATTTATTTATTTGAGGTGATTTTATTTTAGTTCACATTTTTTATGTATGCTATTTGTAGTTGTGTACAGGAGGGGATAAACAACATGTATTATACCCCGGTGGTCGGAGCTGACGTATAACCCGTCAAATTAAAAATAATGTATCTCAACAATGGATTTTTTATTTTTTTAGCAATAAAATAATTTGCTTCTAGACGACTATAACAAAAAATTCTTTGCAAGCATTTTCTGTCGTCTGATGGTTTTGCTACTATCGATGTATGGCAATTCCTACACCGAAAGTAGCAAAAGCGGTAGCAAAAGTGGAAGTAGCGTTTTGATTAAAATTGGTGAGGTTTATTATTATTAGAATATTTAAGATTTTCTCCATGACAATATTGACCATTGTCCGTTGGCTTGACAGTAATTTTTCTTGTAATTTCAAGCCAATTTAAAATAATCGATTAATAAAAAATAATCGATTAATCGAAAATATCGGTTAATCGATTTATCGAAATAATCGATTACCTACTTAATCGAAATAATCGATACATCAAAATAATGGATAGATCAAAATAATATATTTGCCAAAAATAATCGAAAAAATCGATTAATCGATTATTTTGCCGACCCCTAAGGATGGCACATCATTGAAATGGTAATTTGATGGAGTATTCGGCAATAAGTCTATTTATTGCGTTACTTTTGATTTTAGAACCATGTAGTTTGTTAAAAATCTATTAGGTATTGTAAAGTGTGACACTTCATTTGAAAGCTAATTTTATTACTAATTCAATGCACCACAAAACATTAATCTAAAACTCTCCATGTTCCGCTTGCAACAAAATAAAGTTAACAATGACTAAGTTTCAGACTTTCGCAAGAGCAATATTAGTAATTATTAATAAAATTAGCTTTCAAATGAAGTGTTACATTTTACAATAAATAACAGTTTTTTTATCAAGCTAGAGGGCGCTAAAATCAAAAGTAACGCATGAATAGTCTTATTGCTGAATTCTCCATTTCTCCATCAAATTACCTTTTCAATGATGTGTCATCCTAGGTACTTTTCATTTTCTTAAAATCCAATGATTATTGCCCAATAACAGGGTGGACAGTTTTGAGTGGCCCACTCTATATTATCAATTATTGCAATCAATGTAATACAGTGTGGGCCAAAAAGCTCGAAACGAAGAGGAAAATTGATTTCTCAGAAAATTTTATTCCTGATAAGTTTCTGTAAAAAAAGAAATTGACTATGTACTGTTTTGATTTTTTGATTTTTTTTGGATGTCGATTAATGGAATGATACAATTCAAATTTCGACTATCCGATTAATCGATTTAAAAAAATCGACTAATTGATTAATCGATTATTTTGCCCACCCCTAATTAGGACTCATCAGTAAAAAATAGACAATCTCGACTCCAGTCTCTAATGAAATCTGCCAGTTGTACACAATTCGTTCGCACACATTAACAGAGATTAAGAGTGTGTTGATATTCAACGAGCAAAACTGGTAACGCAAATTTTTTAATACATAATATGCCCTTGTAACAGACATATTAGTTCAACATGGATCCATATTGATTTTTTCAATATTGATTCCGAGTTTTACTCTTTCGTCAAAGTTAGAGTGTTGAAAATTGTTTTCTGCTATTTACCTTTTAATATAATGCAATGCCTATTGAAGTATTAACCAGAATTAGAGCGTTGAAAATTATTTTCTGCTATTTACCTTTATATATTACAATGCCTGTTGCAGTATTAGACAAAGAAATGGTTGTTTTCAGGAATGGTCGCTCGATGTTTCTGTGACATGGACTTTGAGCTTTTCTCTTTTCCCTTTGTTGTTTATTTTTAAATTTTGTCGATATTTTTTATTTCTTGCTGATGAGTCCTAATAAGGTTAAAACCGGTACAATGACTTTCTCCTTAGGAAGCAAAATCAAAGTTAGAGTTTTGAGAATTATTTTCTATCTTTGCTATTTACCTATTGATATAATACAATGCAATGGTACTCGTATTTCCAGTAAAACAGGAAATCGGCCATTTTGTTTTAATGTAAGTGCCAATTCAGAATTAGGATAATATGTTTGTTCCAAATTTTATCCAAATCGTTTGATAAATTAAATAGATATTAACGTGACCCTATACAGAGTGATTAATTTGGAAACGAACATACGTTAACTGTGTATGGAGGCCACTAAGGTGATTCTAGA